GCTCTAGAGCAGAAACAGCCCTTGAAATGAATGAAACACAGTAATAAACACAAAGTCATGAGTCAAGGAGCTATGAAACTAATACTAGGATCATGATGGATTTTGAGAATGTCTGCTTGGAAAACCATAAAAGTTTATTGTTCAGTGACAAAGCTCAAGATCTGGAACTGAATATAAGAGAATACTCACCATTACACCAGAACAAATTGATTGCCCAATTAAATGTGACTGATAATTATCTGTTACACCTCACACTCTACAAAGGTTTTCATTTTTTGAAGTTATTTTTGTGCCAGGCAAGAAAGGAAAGGGAGGGCAAAGGCAAACAGATTTGGAACTCAACCTGATACTTTTAACCAAACTTGTATCAAGAAATCATAAGATACAAAAAGCAAGATACATTTGAATCAATGTGTTTTAAATAAAGCCATATATAACAAATATATGTATATATTACAAAAAATATAAAATAATAAGAAATATTTTGAAATTTTATGGTGCCTTGCAGAGATCAAGTTAATTTTATAAAGTGCTATTCTTTATATACACACTTAGCAAGAACAATGTTTTTTCCTTACTATATATACATTAGATTTATAACAGATTTTTACTGCTTGGTTTTACTGAGCCAAGAATTCTCTTCTATTCATTTCAGCTGGATTGTATCCTTAGAGCATAAAATATTCAGCCCTCTGTGGACTGTCTTATCTCTCACTTAAAAGATGGTAACTCTTTTCTGGACAGGAATAGAAATTGATGGTTCACTGTTTCTTAAGCCTTTTGTCTATAGTGAGCTACTGTGGATAAAGCAGGAAGTATATTTAAACCTTTTCTCTATGTTCTGCACATAGTCGAGATAATAGCTACAAACGTGAACTGTCAATGAGGCTTTGCCCCATGCTATGTAAATGTCTCAGGTGCATACAATGGGTTAAAGAGGAAATGCTGACTCAGAGGAAGCTGATGCAACCTGAGCATGGAGATAAGTCATAGCAGGTCCAAACTGCACTGTCACTGTGGATGAAACACTAGCAGGGGGCTGGATCAGAATCCTAGCTAGTGTGTGTGTATATAAGGAGAAATGCTCCAGTGTACCATGTGGTGGCTGATGGTGGAGCATTATGTCAATTGATGTAAATATGGCTGTATTGTGCTTGTAAATACTTTGCTGCAACTAAGGTTAAAAAGCCTCTTCAGAAGAACCCGGTAGTCGTGAGTGACTTTCCAGACTTGGCAGTGGCATCTGTTTCCATATGCACCATCAGCGTATGGACTCAATTTTCCCTCTGTGCTAACATGAACATCCATCATTTAACCTTAAAGTATGCTTGTTTACCAATGTCCAGTTCCAGTCCACTTTTTCTACATAAAAGTCAGTGGAACACAGCTTTACTTTGCTAAATTTTGTAGTTTTGTACAAGTCACACAACTTAACAGCTTAACAACTGCAATCAGGGAAAGATGAGGTCACTTATCCCCTTGTTGGTACAATGAAATATGATATGAACTGGACAGCTGATAGAGCAAAATCACATCTTTTCTTTTTGTCTTTTAATAATGCAAGTTAGGCAGAAGTTATTTACATCTTCCCCCCCCCCC